AGGAAATTGACAGAGATAAATAGAGCCAAGATTAATGGAATAGATCCAAGTATGTATAGATGCCTAATTAATCACAAATGTGACATTTCAAGGTGGTGGGAAAGAAGTATTTAATAAATGGAATGTGCATAATGACTTTCTGGAAACACAGACTCACCGCATTCCATATGAAAAATCACATTCCAGATGGAATAGAGATCTAAATAGACACAATATCAAAAAAAAGTCTAAAAATTGTAATTCAAAAATTGTCTTCAAGTTTAGTGAGCATCCGAATAAAAATTGTATTTTAAAACCCATAAAGTCTCAAAGAAAATTTTGCTGACTAAATGGACACTTAAAATACTTGGCAAAATGACAGGGTAAAACAAAGCATCAAAAAAAGGGAAGCGGGCCAGGTGCAGTGGCTCATGCCTGTAATCCCAGCACTTTGGGAGGCCCAGGCAGATGGATCACTTGAGCTCAGGCATTCATGACCAGACAGGACAGCATGGCAAAACCCCGTCTCTACACACACACCACATACACACACACACACACACACACACACACACACACACACACACACACAGAAGCAATCAGGAGAAAGTAGACAAAGGGTAATACCCTACTATTTAAGGAACTCTTCAAAAGGAAAAAAAAATAAATCGTAACCCTAATGTAATAGGTCAAGGGTCAGATTCTAGTGTTAGATTTTAAGAAACACAATTTCCTCTCCTTGGAGAGGAGGAATAATTATCCTTGGAGGTCAAGATGAATAATTATGTTGTTCTTAGTAATATAAAAGACCCACAGTATTTCTTGTTTGAAAAAAGAACTCTTCATGTGAGAATATAATCTCTTATTCTCTTATTAAATAATGAGATCTAAATGACTTTCAGATTGGAATTCCAGCATGCATTTTCTGGAGACAATGGACTTCACATGTGCCTGGCCAGGTGAATCAGTGACTGATGGGCCCAACTGCTCAGTGATGGGGAGCCCAGCCTTGGAGGGCCTGGCCCAAGAGCATATAACCCCAGTGTACTTGTTCATTCTCACACCTCTTTAACGACCTACCTGAGACTCGGTAATCGATGAAGAGGTTTATTTGATTCATGGTTCCCCTGGCTTAACAGGAAGCATGACTGGGAGGCCTCAGGAAGCTTACAATCATGGTGGAAGGTGCAGGGGAAGCAGGCACAACTTACCGCAGTGGAGCAGGAGAGAGTGAGGGAGGGAAGCGCCACACACTTTTAAATGTCAGATCTCCTTCCAACTCACTCACTATCACAGGAACAGCATGGGGGAAATCTGCCCCCCAGACTCGATCACCTCCCACCAGGTCCCTCCTGCAACACTGGGAATTACAATTCAGCATGAGATTTGGGTGGAGACTCACAGCCACACCATATCACCCAGAGAGTTGGATAATGCTTATTTTCCAGGCGTGCCAAGTACTCCCCAGTCTATCTAAACTCAGTGTCAGATGTCATGTGCATGACCTCTTTCTTCAGATACCTTTTCAAATGTCATACAACCGTGCTCATCACATACCAAGTGATGGTCTATCCTGGAGGAATTTTTGTGTCTTTAAATTATTGAAAAGTAGCCTGGGCAACATCGTGAGATTCCATTTCTACAACAATTTAAAAATGAGCTGGGCATGGTGGTACGTGCTTCTCTGGTCCCAGCTACTTGGGAGGCTAAGGCAGGAGGATCACTTGAGGCCAGGAGTTCAAGGCTGCAGTGAGCCATGATCTTGCTGCTGCACTCCAGCCTGGGTGACAGAGCAAGACGCTGTCTCTAAACAAGAAACGACAAAAACCAAAATACAAAATCCTTCTGGGGTTCATAGCCCATAGAAGTGATGGTTTAATAGAACCCAAAAGTGGAGGAGTGGATGTAAGAGTCTTATTTTCGTAATATACAGCTATCATTTCCAGATTCTCTTTGACCTCTGTTCCTTGTTTTCTTGGAGAATGCCTTATTCCCTGTCTGGGGCACGTTGAACATCTAAAGACATGGATGTACTTCACAGGCACCTTTGGCCAAGTAATGACATGCTCAGGGCTACTTTTGCAGCTTGATGAAGCCCATCATGACCTCTTGGGGCTTGCATGTTGATGTGACTTGATTAACAACCTGTGTCCTTAGAGAATACACGGAGCCCTCCTCCTCTTCTATTGATCGTCTCTGTTTCCCTCGAAGCAGACAAAGGTGAGTGACAGCGTGCACCAGGATGTGTTTGGGGGAAGCTCTTGGGAGATTTTCTCTTTTATCGTTTAGAGGCAGATTTAGCAGACCTGAGATGAGCTGCTGTTCCTTCCTGTGCTGTGAAGGCCTGGTGGGTGGTGAATTCGCTGGTTATCAATTGCAGGGCTTACTCATCCTGCTTCCTGGAAGCTCAGCTCAGCTCTGATGTCTGATGTTACGGCAGGGACATGGTTTCTTCTTCACACGTGCATGTCTGTTAGTGGGTTCTGGGAATATGTCTCCGTGAGACTTTGATGCCCATGATGTGTAGGATTCCTCTCTTTTCTTTTCCTCTTCCTTTCTTGATTAGTCTGTTTTCACACCGATATAAAGAACTACCTGAGACTCGGTAATTTATGAAGAAAAGAGGTTTAATTGACTCACAGCTCCACAGGCTTAACAGGAAGCATGGCTAGGAGGCCTCAGGGATCTTATCACCCTGGTGGAAGGTGAAGGGGAAGCAAGCTTGTCTTACCATGGCAGAGCAGGAGAGAGAGAGAGAGAGAGAGAGCGCAAAGGGCGGGGCCCTACGCCTGTAAAGAAACAGATCTCATGAGAATTCCATCATGAGACAGACAAGGGGGATGATGTTAAACCATGAGAAACCAACCCATGATCCAATCACCTCCCACAGGGCCCTCCTTCAGTATGTGGGAATTACAATTCGACATGAGATTTGGGTGGGGACTCCCCTCCCCTCCCTTCCCCTCTCTTTCTTCTTCCCTTTCTCCTTACCTCCCTCCCTCCCTTCCTTCCTTCCTCTTTCTTTCTCTCTTCCTCTCTCCCTTCCTTTCTCTCTCGACAGAGTCTTCCTCTGTCGCCCAGGCTGGAATGCAGTGTGGTATGATCAAGGCTCACTGCAACCTCCACCTCCTGGGCTCAAGCAATCCTTCAATCTCAGCCTTCTGAGTAGCTGGCACTATAGGTGCACACTGCCACGTCCAGCCAATTTAAAAATTTTTTTGTAGACATAGGGTCTCACTATGTTGCCAATGCTGGTCTAGAACCCCTAGGTTCAAGCAGTACTCCCACTTCCGCCTCACAAAGCGCTAGGATTTCAGGGGGGTGCCATCTCCTCCAGTCTACGCTGGCTTCTTATCACCGACGTGTCAGTGCTCCGCATAGGTGAGCCATGCTTGTGTCCCCGAGGAAGGGGGCGTGGTTTTTCTCATTGAGCATTTTGGAGCTGGCATTCCCTGGGTCAAGGTTCAAGAAATACTGTTTTAGTACATCACGCCTGTCACTTAATTTATAGGACAGTCCTACCACTCAGGTCCTCCTAGGCACATTTTACAGATGAGGAAATTAAACCTTGGAGAATTTAAGTGACTTGTCCAGGGTCACACAGGGGGCCGCCGTCTAGAGGAGGGAACTCTGAGCTTCCCCCTGCACTCCGCATGTCTTCGTGAAGTTTTGTATATGAACAGTATTTCCACTGGCTCACCCTTATTTATCTTTGAGACTATTACTAGTGTTACTGGATCAAATGTAACATAAAGAAAATTTCCTGGAAGGATTCAAGGCGACATAATTATGATTCTTTAAGTTAGGAGATTTAGAAGAGATTTATCAGGTAAAAGTCAGCAGGGGGCTTGGGCTCAGAGGCCAGCAGTCCTGTGGGGAGGTGTTGGAAGTCCAGAGATGCCCCCTGGGCTTGTCCCTGCACGAGCTCCACCTCCCTGTCCTTTGGGGGCAGTCCCCAACCCCCCAGGGGTGTGGGCCCAGAGGCCACTGTGACCTGAAGCTGGCCTGGGAGCGGCCCGCCCAAGACAATGTTCTCAACAATTGGGAAACAAAAGAGGAAGACTCCATTTATTCCATTTACACAACAATCAGGCCTTTCATTCCTTTGGGGAACCACGTCCTCCTTCATCAGGTTAGGGCTGTCATGAATGGTGCTGAATGGAGCGTTTCCAGCTGCTGAGCCCTAGTGGGGCGGGGGTCCACTCAGGAAGCCTCTGTCCCTGCACCATGTGCCCCCCCCGAGCTGGCAGGGGGTCCTGGGGGGTGAGGGAGGCGCACCCCAGCCTGGGGCTTACTTGGGTGATGGAAGAGGAGTCACATATCATGGGAGACCATCAAGCTCCCTTCATAAGATCCCAGCTACCTCCAGCCTCATACATACAACTGTGAATTAATATTAACTATGAATGACTTATCCATGGGTAAAAGAAGAAAAGGGAGGGAGAGAGAAGGCTCTCCAAATGATGGCCAGGGCTGGTGTGGACAGAGACTTCTGTGCTGGGGAGCAAACTGTCTCTCCCAGTTTCTCTCTTTTTTCCTCTCCCTCGAGGTCTTTCCCCATCCTCTGTCTCTCTCTTTGACCCCTTTCTCCTCCCCTCCCTTGGTCTCTGCCTCTGTGTCTCTCAGCAAGTCCTAATGACAGGGTTTGTGCTCTTGGAAAACTCCTTGTGTCTGAGGCCACCCTGCAGAGGTCCCGGAGCGTGGCTTCCTTCTGAAACCAGCAGGAGTGTGGCTTTGGGGGCCTGTGAACCAGGGAGAGCCGTCGGCCTCTGACCAGCTTGCCAGGGCCTCCACTCCCAGCACAGAAACCCAGCACCAGCTGCGTTGGAGATTCCTGCAGGAAGGCTGTGTTCAGTGGCGTTTGCAGAGGGTGGCAAGGCAGGGCACTTCTGTGAAACGAGCACTCACTCCTATTTACAGCTGCTCTGCCTCCGGTGGTGTTTCATGCCCACCCGTTGCAGTGTCTCGAGGTCAGACTGAGGGTCCTGGGCTCTGGTGGAGTGACCCTGGCCACGCCCCTTCCCAAGGGACGCTCGCCCGCTCCTTCGCCTTAGCTGTTCCCTTTAAGGACCGACTTCCCTCCAGAGGGAAATTCCTGAAACCCAACAGTTGACAAACCCACACACCCTCGGGAGGGCTGGGCACCAGATAAAAAGCCCTCCGAGGTAGCCCAGCCCCTCCTGGGGACGGCTGCCGCTGCCAGGGGACCCAGCAGAGCCCCTGACCTGCCGCCTAGAGCCCCAGCAGAGCCTGGGACCTGCCTCCAGGACCAGTCCCCCACCAGCAGAGCCCAGACCTGCCTCTAGGACCCTCCAGCAGAGTGTGGGGACCTGCTGCCTGGACCCCCAGCCAGAGTGCCCCACCCTGCCCACTCCCGGCCTGCCATAGTCACCTGTGCCCTGGTCCTAAAAGGTGGTGAGCCCGGGGGACTTGCACCGGAGGGAAACGGGTCTTCTGTTTCTCTGGCTCGTTCTCAGCTCTCCGCAGCACCACCTATTTCTGTCTTTCCTTCTGGAAAGTGTGCTTTGCCAGTGACTAATTGCAGGTCGTGCCGAGATTGCTATCACCTGTCACCTGCACGCAGGACCCAAGCCCATCGGGGAAATGAAGAGATAAATCTGCGGCTGCAGCCCGACCTGCCAGGCCACCTGCCTCCCACAGGCAGCAACCAGAAGCTTCCCCACCGAGACCGCCAGGGCCACCTCTGGCCCCGCCAGGGGCCACTGGCATGTGGCCGTCGAAGTGACCCCCGGGGGCCCCATGGCCACCCCTGGAAAGGCTGACGCAGGCGTCTGAGGAGCAGCCGCCTCCCTGCAGGCTGAGCGGAGCCCTGGATGGAGCTTGGCACCCAAGCCCCTCATGTCTGCCCTGCTGAGGCTGTGTTTTGTGCTGCCCCTGGCAGCCCCCCGCCACAACGCACAGCGCTGGGAGCCCTGCACAGGTAAGGCGGGGTGTGGGGACTTGGGTGAGTGGGGGAGGGTCTTGCAGGGGAGCTAGAAGGGGTGTCGAGTTGCAAATGCCACTTTCTAACACTGATGGAAGCCGCGGCGCCGGTGCCCGCGGATGATTTGGCAGGGCTGGCAGGTAGCACCCTGAGGAGACGGGCAGAGCGGGAGGGGCACAGGTGGGGAAGATGAAAGCGCAGGGCAGGCGGCGGCAACAGAGACGCGGTTCTTCAGAACAAGAGCAGGGTGGGGACGAGCTTCAGGAGCTGAGCCACCGGGGCCTCCACAAGTGCTTACCTGCTGGGTCTCCTGGGAGAGCCTGACACCTGCTTTGGGAATGAAGAATGAAGCCGCAGCAGCCTGTAGGCCATTGCGCGTGAACCATTCCCCATGGGGATGCCCCCAGCCCGCACTCGGCAAAGCGAAGGGCCACACCGGGCCTGCCCCTTCCCCACAGGAGCAAGAAATCAGAGACACAGGCACAGCCCCAAGCATACCACCCTCCGGAGAGCAGGGCTCAGTTCTTCAGGACCTAACTTCCGTCTGCGGGGAGAGCCAGGGGCTGGCTCGCCAGCGGGCCTGGACCTGGCAGGGCCTGGAGGTTTCCTTCCCACCTTTCAGGAAGGCCATTTGGCTTGCTAATGACCGTGGCACGCTAATACTTTTCTAGAGTTTCTACTGAGGGATTTTACTTTTCAACCAACATTTAAGAAACAGTGTAACAGGCGAACTTGACCTGGTCACTAGAAAGCCGGTTACAGGACAGTGAATTGGTGACCCGAGCACTGAGGCTTGGCAGCTCGGCTGTCGGGGAGGCCAGGAGATGGCCTGGACTTCTGGTTTTGTTTGCAAATCAGCATCCTTGGTTCCCTGGAATAGATGAAGTCCACCCCTGGCACCAGGCCACAGCTCCCTGATTGATGACACTCAGATCTGATGACATGACCAGGGGATGGCCAGGGTCACCGGAATATGGAAGGCGCTGACCCGCGTGGGGGGCGGGGGTGGGGTCATAAACGTGTCCGGCCAACCAGGGCTGGCCGGCTGTGATTCCAGGACAGCCCTCGGGCTGTGCGGTGGGAGGCAGGCTGGCCCCCCGCTGCCGCCTGGGTGTCCGGGACAGGACGGAGGCCCCTGCTTGCTCCCCAAGCTCCAGCACAGCTGCACCTGCCCGCAGGGACTGCCTTGGAACCGGGCGATTCTGCAAACAAAGCGAGCGCCAAGTCAGCTTGTCGCAAAATCCCCTGGCTTCACGCGACCAAGGCACTGCCAGCCCTTCTCCCTTCCCTGCTCGGGGACCCCGGGGCAGCGAGCGACTCCTCAGCACACCCTGGAGTGGGGAGGGGGGGAATGAGTCACAGACATGTATTTTCATGTTCCCTTTAGCTCGGGGAACAGAATCGACCCGCATGGTAATAATACAGGTTATTTATAAAGCCCGCCCCCTGTCCCCTGAAGCTGCGTTGCAAATAGTTAAAAGATGACCCAGTTATAAATACCGAGAGCCAGGGAGGAAAGATAAAAGTCAAGTAAATAAAGTTGAGCTGAATTTGGAGCACTCCCAGGAGCCCCGCACGAGGGCCAGCCAGGGGTTCCGATGATTTTGAAGTCACTTGGTTCCATTCCGTCCTGGGAGGCGCTCGCGCGGCTGTGGGTGTGTGTGGGATTCCGCCTTCCCGTGGGCCCCGCTGGCCGGGGCTGTACCGCTGTGTGCGCGAAGGCACCGCGCGTGGCAGCGCGTCTCCGCTTTCTCTGCTCCCCGAGTCTGTGCCCACGGTGTGGAGCCGCGGCCGGTCGTCGGCCCGCAGGTCCCGGGCGGTCTGAGGCTGGAGTAGTTGGGTCTGCCGCGGGGCCCGGGTCCCTTCTCTGGAGGTGCTCGGACTCGTCTCTCGCTTTGCCCGGTCCGGCAGTCTCTAGCACTTCGTTTGCTAATCCAGTGCCTGCCAGGCCCCGGGGAAGCGGCGGGCTGGGATTTCCAGGCGGCCCCAGCCCGGTGGGCAGCAGTGGGGACCGGCCTGTGTTTCAACCTCACCATAGGAAGCCGCAGCGCGAAGGGCCATTGCAGGGGCCCTTCCGACTCCCGAAAGGAGCGCAGCCCACGTCACCTCCACGTGGACAGGAGGTCAAGGCGGGAGATTCCGTGGGAGCCCTCTGAGAACAGCTGGACCCAGTGGGCAGGGTCACTGGCGGCTGGGCTTTGGGGGCTGGGAAGGGCGGCTGCAGGATGCGAGGGCCGCAGTGTCTCTTTCCGTTGCCTCTCTCTGTCCTCAGTGTTGCCCCAGGAACAGTCAGTGGTGGGGACCCCTCACACGGGATCCTGCTGAGCGAGACCTCAGCCCCCCACCTAGCCGGCACTCCTCATTCACTCTCCTCCCCAGTACGTTCCCTCAGGATCCACCCAGGAAGGGCCGTGCCCCCACCCGGCGTGCGGCAGCCACAGGCTAGGGCCCCTGCCCGCACGGAGCTGGCAACTTGGCCAAACTGCAGCTGCGTCCAGGTCCAGAGCGAGTGCCGTGAGATCCCACGAGCTGTGCCTGCCCCGCGGCAGGAGGTGTCCAGGAGGGACTCAGGGAGCGGCATTCAGCAGGGGACTGCAGTGTGGAAGGCTGTCAGCAGGTGGAGGGACCCCAGGGGGGCCGAGGGAGGAGTGGGGGTGGTCAGGTCTCTGGGCTAGGGACTGGCGGGGTGCCTCCCAGGAGCTGGAGAAGGCACTGAGAAATGATGGCGCAGCTTCGCATCTTAAAAGACCACTGGGGGTGCGGGCTGCGGGCTGGAGGCCTTTCCAGTAAGGGGTTAGGAGAGGTTTTCCAGCCCAGCCCTCCCACTGCACTGGCGCTTCCTGGAGTTCCGCCCTCAACCTCTGTCCTCTGGACTTCAGTGCCTAAAGGGTAGTGTGAGCGCGGGGGAGTCCTGGTCCCTGGCGAGGTCTCCAAGGCCGCTCCTGGAAGGCTCTGTGCCGGCGACACCTTCTCTTGGCTGCGTGTGCTTGACCAAAGCCCTTCGAGTGGCCTGCGGTTCGGAAGCGTGCCCATTCCTGACCAGGCAGCACAGTCCTCTGTCCAGCGGGCCCAGCTCCCCACTGCAGGCCCCGGGGCTGGGGACGCGGGAGGGATCTGAGACCAGCCTCGCCTGAGCTCCAGCCTGTTTTGCCCAATACCTGAAGGCACAGGTTACCCCGGCGCACACCTGCACTCCCGCTCTCTCCCCTCCCCCTCCCCTCTCCCCTCCCCCCTCCCCTCCCCCCTCCCCTCGCCCCTCCTCTCCCCGCTCCTTTCCCCACTCCTCTCTCCCCTCCTCCCTCTCTCCTCCCCTGTCTCTCAAATCTCTATAGCTTCGTGCTGGGTGTGGGGGGATGATGGGGAGCACAGGCTAGGCAGCCAGGGGGGCTATGCGTGACCCCCCAGGGCTCTGAGGCACCCACTGGGGACGGACTCTCCAGTCTACACCAATGGGCCTAGGGCTTGTGGCATTATTTTTCTTCCTTTTTTTTTTGTTATTGGTCTTTTAAAAATGGACATTTAGGAACTCTTTTGTAAATTAAAGAGATTAACCTTTTGTCTGTTATATGAATGGCAAATTTTGTTCCTTAATATCTCATTTATTTATTTTTTTTGAGAAAGAAAAAGAAAAAGAAAATTAAAAAAAGAAAAAAAAAAAGAATAAAGGAAAGGAAGAAAGAGGAAGAGGAAGAGGGAGAGAGAACAGGGGTGTTGCTTTATTGCCCGGGCTAAAATGCAGTCTAAAAATGGGTATGCCTGTAATTATGTTTAATAATAGAGACATTAAAAAAAAATGAGAGATAAAATAAACAAGCAGCCAACCAATATTTCATTTAAACCTGTAAATACATGTGATGTAGTACTGATAAGAGTGTATATTTTGTGTATTTAAAGTGGAGAGTTCTATGAATGTTAATTAAGTCTACTTGTTCCGGATCTGAGTTCAAGTCCTGAATATCGATGCTAACTTTCTGTCTCATTGATCTGTAAGTCTCCCACTATTATTGTGTGGGAGTCCAAGTCTCTTTATAAGTCTTATATATCTGGGTATTTCTGTATTGTGTGCATATATATTTAGGATCTTTAGCTCTTCTTGCTACATTGATCCTTTTATCTTTATGTAATATCCTTCTTTGCTTCTTTTGATCTTTGTTGCTTTGAAGTCTATTTTATCAGCAAAATTTGCAACTCCTGCTTTCTATTTATTTATTTTTGCTCTCCATTTGGTTGGCAAATTTTTCTCCATCCCTTTGTTTTGAGTCTTTGTGTATCCTTGCATGTAAGATGGATCTAGATGTAGCATACCATTGGGTCTTGGCTTTTTTTGCCTGTCTGTGTCTTTGGATTCGGGGATTTAGTCGATTTAAATTTAGAATTAATAACAATATATATGAGTTTGATGCTGTCATTTAATGTTGGCTGGCTGTTTTGCCCATTAATTGATGAAATTTCTTAATTATGTTGATGTTCTTTATTTTTTGGCATTTTTTAGAAAGGCTGATACTGGTTGTTCCTTTTTATTTGTAGTGGTTCTTTCAGAAGCTCTTGTAAAGCAGGCCTGGTGGTGATGAAATCTCTGAGTGCTTGCTTGTTCACAAAAGATTTTATTTTTCCTTCACTTATGAAGCTTAGTTTGGTTGGATGTAAAATTCTGGGTTGAAAGTTCTTTTCTTTAAGGATGTTGAATATTGGCCCCCACTCTCTTCTGGCTTGTAAGGTTTCTGCTGGGAGATCTGCTGTGAGTCTGATAGCCTTCCCCTTATGGGTAACCCAACCTTTCTCTCTGGCTGCCCTCAGTATTTTCTCTTTCATTTCAACCCTGGTGAATCTGGCGATTATTTGCCTTGAGGTTGGTCTTTTTGAGGAATATCTTTGTGGTGTACTCTGTATTACCTGGAGTTGAATATTGTCCTGCCTTGCTAGGTTGGGAAAGTTTTCCTGAATAATATCCTGAAGCATATTTTCCAGCTTGGACTGATTCTCTTCGACACATTCAGGTACACCTATCAAACGTAGATTAGGTCTTTTCACATAGTCCCATATTTCTTGGAGACTTTGCCCATTCTTTTTTATCCTTTTTTCTCTAATCTTGTCTTTTTGTTTTATTTCATGAAGTTGGTCTTCGACCTCTAATATCTTTTCTTCTGCTTGATCAATTCGGCTGTTAAAACTTGTGCATACTTTGCGAAGTTCTCGTGTTGTATTTTTCAGCTCCATTATTCACTTATATTCCTCTCTAAATTGTGTGTTATTTTTAACATTTCGTCAAACCTTTTTTCAATGTTCTTAGTTTCCTTGCATTGGGTTAGAACAAGTTCTTTTAATTCCCAGAAGTTTCTTATCATCCACTTTTTAAAGCCTGCTTCTGTTAATGGAACACAGTCTTTCTCCATCAGGCCTTGTTCCGTTGCTGATGAGGAACTGTGATCCCCTGTAGAGGGAGAGGCGTTCTGAGTTTGGGTATTCTCAGCCTTTTTAGGCTGTTTTCTTCCCTTCTTTATAGATTTATCCATCTGTGGTCTTTATAATTACCGTCTTTATAGTTGGGTTTCTGAATGGACGTCCAACTTGTTGATTCCTGGCGCTAGAATCTGAGCAACCCACTGCGCCGGCCAAAACAGCGGCTTTAAGATTGATGGTGCTTTTCTGACTCTACCAAGAACCGCTGCTCCAAGGCAGCGGCAAAACCGCCTCACCGGCCTCAAGAGTGCGCTGGCGACACGTGGAGCTCCTCCGCTGGCAATCTCCTGGTGGGTGAGCAACAAAAATTGATCTGAAAGTGTGGCGTCCTCTCGTTCTCTGCTCTTTCAGTGGGAGCTGCATTCCCGAGCTGCTAGTGATCAGCCATCTTGGATCTCTCTCCGGCATTATTTTTCTATCATGTTATTTATTTGATCCATTTATGTTCTGGAATGAATGACCCCCACCTGTAGAGGATCAGAGGCTTGGCTGCGTCAAGTGAGAACAAATCTCAGGGTTAGGGACCCCCTCATTCCCTGCCCCAGCCAGGCGGTCACTGTGGGATCCCCGAAGTGCAAATTGTCAGTGGCCATGCCTTTCCTTTTATAAAATTCTAAACTGTAAGGCCAGGGCATTTCCTCCCCACCCCCCACCATCTTCAGGAAACAAAGAATGTTTGTGCTTGGGGCTGAGCCCCTTAGCTCTGTTGGACACTAGGGTTCCGCTGGAGACAAGCCAAGGGGCTCTAGCCTCCCTGTTTCCAGGATAAGGAGCTGCATATGCAGGGCTGCGCCAGGTCTACACTAGGTTCCCAGCTGAACGCCCCTCCTCTGCCCCGCCCCGCACCCTGCAGCTATGTGGCCTCAGTCTCCACCTCCACCTCCAACACTACCCCCCCATCGTCCCCACCCTGCATCCTCTGCCCACTCCGGTTCCTCTCCCCACCCCGGTTCCTCTCCCCACCCCCATTTTCCTGGTGGAGACCTTGGTGTTGGGGTGGGGGCAAAGGTGGAGCTGCAGGAGTGGGGCTGGCAGGTGCGGTCCTGGCTGTCACTCCCGTCCTAACCCCAAATCCGCGTCCACTGGACTTTGCCGCCCTGATCACCTGTACTGGGGCGAGGGGTGCTCGCCCGGCCCCACCCAACTGATAAATGGAGGCGAGCCCGTGGGATCCCTCACTGGTGTCGACGACCCCCAACTGATGCCTGCACCAATTCCATTGGGAAAGCCGGGTGGGGGTGGACAGGAAGGCGGTGCTTTCAGCCTGCCTTTGTCCCGTTGGGGAGTAGTTGGGGGTGGGGGGACCCCATCTCTCGATGGCTCACTTTTATCCCTCCTACCAAGGTGGGGCTTGGGAGCAGCTTTGGCCCTGGGTGGGGTCTGTGTAGGGGGCTGTGGCAAATTTAATCCCATGGGCACCACTGTCAGGGGCTCAGGGTCGTGAAAGAAAAACAGAAGAGAAGCTCACTAGGCTTCTAGGGTGACCGGGCTCGGTTCAGCCTGGGGAGCCCGTCCCTGTCCCCTGCCCCAGCAGCTGGGAAGGATGGGGTGGTGGGGCGACCCCTGAGGCCCGGAGCTGTTCGGCCCACACCCCCACCCCCACACCTTCACCTCGGCTGCCTCCTCTGGGAAGTGGGTGAAGCACAGCCCAGTGAAATGACTGCGTGGGAAGCGTTTAGCTTGTGCTGGGTGCGGGTGGGAGCCCGGGACTCAGGGAGCGTCTTTCTGCACGGCTGGGGACAGCATGTGTGCGTGCAGGTGTATGGGTGGGTGTGCACGCAGGTGTGTGCACGTGGATGTGTGGGTGGTTGTGCGGGTAGGTGTGCGTGTGGGTGTGTCCACGCAGGTGTGTACGCGTGGATGTGTGGGTGGTTGTGTGCGCATGGGTGTGTGGGTGGGTGTACACGTACCTGTGTGGGAAAACCCGTGATGCAGACACCCTTCCTTAGTTTTGCCGTTGCGTGTTTTCTGAGGTTTCTATGGCAGCCTGGTGTCCAGCAGGAGAGGTGCTCTCAGCTCTACCTGGCCCAGGCAGAGGGTGGGCCCTGGGAGGGGTCTGGGGAGGCCTGTGCTCAGGCCTCGATCTGCAGCTGGGGCTTGGGGGCTGAGCTTGGGGCACCAGGGAAGGGTCACTAGTCCTTGGTGACAGGCCATCGCCGGCCACGGGGAACAGGTCAGCGCATCTGGGTGGGGCTGGCATTCAGGGCTCCTTTTTAGTTGAACTGTGCTCCGGACGGAGGTGGCTGGGCTCCATCTGGCGTCCGTGGGCGGCATCCGTGGGTGGCGTCCAGGGGCCGTGAGGGGACTCGGTGGCAGCCACTGCATCTTTTTCCTGCAAACATCTCCCCAATGACGGAGTGGAGGCTGTGTGGACAGCACTTGCCACGGTCACCCACCAGGGCTCCGCTTCTGGTCCCCATGGCAGATTTGCGAGAATTTCATGTGCTTCCATCCTGGAGAGATCCCTGCTCCTCCTGCTGATCCAAGCCTTAGTGGAAAGGCCCTTCTGCCTCTGTCCCCCGGCTTTGAGCCATCTGGGTAACCAGCTCCACGTAGGTGTCCCCCTTGGAAGTCAGGTGTGTTGAGAAACCTGTTCTGAGAAGGGCCATGGGCTTTACCTGCCGGCTGGGGGCCAACAGCTGTGGCAGGTTCCGGGCCATCCCCCACTGTTTGAGTTCCCTGGGGGTAGGAGTGGACTTGGCTAGAGGGAGGCCGATGATGTCACAGACAAGGAAAAGTCTGGACTGACAGGCCACAGAAAATGTCTGGCCTCAACAGCCAGGGAAGTGGGAACTGCCTTTTCTCCCCTCTCCCATGTTCCATAGTAGGGCCTCTGGAGAGTGGTGTGGGGGAGGCGGGGTACCCCAGGGAAGCAGGCAGCAGGGTCCCAGTTGCCTCCCACCCCCAGGGGCTAGGAAGAGGACAGTAGGACCCATTCTGTCTGAACACATTTACACCAATCCTGTTCTAACTGTGGGAGGGCTCTCTTCTCACTGAGGGTCTCTGGGAACCCCCTTTTTCGGGGAGAGTGGGACTGGAAAAGCCGAGGGTATCTGTGCCAGGCTCTCCAGGGGAGACTGAGGCCAGGTGATCTTAGACCTGTGCTGAGGGTCCTGGGAACGTCTTGCTGGATTTCAGAGCCTCCTGGGATTACAGCTCCAGGTACCCCATTCAGCTCCGCTGCAGCTGGGGGGCTCAGGAGATGGGCAGGGGCACTGCTGTTAGTGTGGAGGCGGCAGCAGGTGAGGAAGCAGCTCTGGTGGGGAGTGAGGCTGAGTGTGGGACCCTTGGGGCTCCTGGAAACATTGGTCCCAAATGAAACCCCCAAAGAGTGACCAGCTTGGGCCCCAGACCCCGTAGCGTGGGGTCCCCAGGTCACGGACCCTTTGACCTCTTTCTCTCAGACCTCTGCCGCACCTGACTGGACCTGGGGCCCCAGAAGAGCTGTTGCCTTCCCAAGCACTGCAGGCGAGGTTGGGCATTTAAATAAAATGCCAGGGCTGCAGGGGAGAGGGAGGTCCCACCCTCCCCACCCCCCCACCCCACCCCACCCCACCCCAGCCTGCCCAGGAGCTGGTAGACTGCAGCAACACTCAGCTTCAGCTGTGTCTGCTGCTGGCCCTGTCCCCGGGTTCCTTAAACTCACCAGGGATAGGGAGACATGGGACACCAGGACCTTCCTGCCAAGGAGCCCTCTGGCCAGATATGCCACCAGAGACATCACCACCTGAATCCTGGACTCACAGCAGGGCTGCCTCCAGAGCTGCCTGGAGGTGCAGATCCAGGAGGCTTGGGCTGCCAGGACGGGAGCCTTGGAACTCAGAGCCTGGAAATGCTTCGAAGACGTGGCTCGTCTCCAGGGTTGCTGAAGCCAGGGCTGTGTCAGCACAGAGGGCCTGAGAAAGAACCGCATAGAGCACTAGGCCGGGAGAGGGGTGGGCAGAAGCAAGGAAGACCAGGGTATTTGTTGTGTGAGGCATGCAGAGTGCAAGGGGGCCGATGGCTTGGAGGAGAAGGGCAGGGGGCAGGCCCAGGGACCTCCTGTGGCTGTGGGGGAATGCCAGGGAGTACCCAGGGCCCCTCAATAATGGGAGAGGTTGCCTCGCCCTGACTTGGAGGGGATTGTGGGTGTGAGGTCAGCCAGCCTGCACACTGCGGTATATACTAGTGCAGTGAGTACCCGTGTGTGTACTGACAGGTCAGCGGTGGGAGGGTTTGCGGGGACCTGAGCCTGGTGCTTGGGGACATGCCTGTCAGCAGCTGGGCTTCTGGCCTGAGCAGAAGCCTTAGCACGTGGGGTGGGAGCACATGGGGCGACAGAGGAGGGACATGCAGGAGGCCGGGCGGCAGCAGCTGGGCTGGCAGGAGGAGGCGGGGGCACAGCAGGAGGGGACGGACACGCAGCAGGCAGGCCTGCACACAGGGCGGCAGGGCAGGGACATGGAGGAGGAGAGTCTGCAGCAGGAGGTGGTGCAGCAAGCCGGCTGGCAGCTAGACTGCTGGCAGCACGAAGAAGAAGCCCCACAGCACACAGGCTTGCCACAGATGGGCTTGCAGCAGATGGGTACACAGCAGGCCTGCTGGCAGGGGGAGGAGGTGCAGCAAGCCGGCTGGCAGCTAGACTGCTGGCAGCACGAGGGCGTGCAGGAGCTGGTGCAGCCCGATTGGCAGGGGCTGGGCTCACAGGCCGCCCAGCAGCAGGGGCTGGACACACAGCTCACTGGGGTGCAGACCAGGGTCAGGCAGGGGGCCGAGGTGCAGCAGCTGGGGACGCAGCAGGGGGGCTTGCAGCAGCTCTCTGGGCAGTCGTCCACCTGCCAGGAGTCGGAGCAAGCGCTGGAGCAGACAGACATGGTGGACGCGGCCATGCTGGGGGTTGAGCTGGGGGAGACCCGAATGAGTGGCTGAGTGAGTGAGGGAGTGTGCGGCGCTGGGGGCTGGGAGTGTTCGTATCTCTGTGTGTCGTGTGTTGTCCCAGCACAAGGGTTCTCCGTGCTCCTCTTTCCTCGTGTTTGGAGCTCGTTCTTGGGAGCCGTCATCAGGGCTGGTTTATTTTCCCTGGAGAGGCCCCCCCGTACCCCCCCCCCCCCCGTAGATGCCTTGGCTGCATTGGGTCTGGGCTGGCAAGTCCTGACTGGGCCTACTTACTGGGTGGGTGAGGATCACATTCGGGGGTTTGAACCCTTGGGTGCCGGGCTCTCATTCTGGGGGACCCAGTGACAGGGTGACTTGGACTCTGAGCTCATGGAATGGCTGATGTGTGAGCCCTGCTCCGGGGCCATAGTCCCCTTCCATTTGTGTTTGTTGCCAGGTCTCCACTGGTAAAGAGAGGGTGGTGATTCCAGGGCCGTCTCCCCGTGACTGTGACCCACTGTTCCTCCTTCAGGCTCTGCCCCGGATGTCTGTATGCTTCCGGGGGCACCAGCAGCCCACGTGTTTTTCCCGCTGACCGAGACATGTGGGCTCCAGCTTGCGGGGTTGTGTTTGTGGGCAGGGGACCAGGGGGGTCGGCGTCCAGCTGAGCAGTGGCCTCATCACTGAGCGGTGAGTCCCTTCCGCCACGTCTGCTCACAGCGCCTGTGGTGTGGTGCTGGCCCAGCAGGGGCTTGGAGAGGGGTGTGTGGCTGAGCTGCATGTCACAAGCTGGGGGCTCTGGAGGCCCCATGGGCTTGGCTTCTGCCTCTGCTGCCCGTTATGGAGGTGGTTGGTGCTGCCTCTGCATCTTCTGCTGCTCTCGTGTGGGGGCACAGACCCTCATGCCCAGGGCACCTTTCCTGGTGGCCAAGCTGCAGCGTCTGCCCATGGACACTTGGACAACCCCTGGGTTGCTCGCTGGTGGTCAGGAGACAGTGGCTGGTGCTGTGCCAGAAATGAAAGTCATGGTGTCCACTCTCAGGGAGGCAGTGGGCGGGCACCGCTGCATTCAGGCTGCCCGGGCCCTGGGCTGGTGGGACAGAGGCAGCCGCCCTGGGGCAGGTGCAGGGTGAGGAGCTGCACAGTGGCAGGAAGCGGGTACCTGTGGGGCACACAGGGGCAGCTGGAGCACCATGGCCACCGGACGGTGGGAGCCCAAGGCAGGGAGGCCCTACAAGGGGCTAGGAGTCATCAGGCAAGGTTGGCAGGTCCGGAAGGCCATGAGCACCTTCGTCTGCCAGGGACTGAAGGGGGCTAGACCTGACCCCTTAGAAGGCTGGGGCTCCATTTCCAGTTTCCGTTTCATTATTACTGTTGTCTCAATGATGTTTTAAACCAGAACACCTGGAAATTGTGCAAGTTACATTGATTATACAAAGCTTCACACACATTGGCAGAGTTTCCTGTGGCTGTTGTGATAATTCAGCACAAACTTGATGGTTTAAAAAACAGAAATGTATTCTGTTATTCCAGAGGCCAGGTGCCTGGGAGCAGTGTTGCTGAGCAGAGAGCGAGGAGTCCGCAGAGCTGTGCTCCCTGCCGGAGGCTCAGGGAGGGTCTTTGTTCCTTTCCTGCTTTTGTTCTGGGGGGTGGATGGCGGCCTCTGCCTGCCTCGTTTCAGTCTCTGCCCCTGTGCTCACATGGACACTGCCTCTCCCAGGTGAAGTTTCTCTGCCTCCCTCTTATAAGAATGCGTGTGATGGCTTTCAGGGTCTCTCTGGCTAAGCCAGGGTCATCTCGCATCTCAGGGCTCTGAACTGTGCTCAGAGATGGAAGACAGAGTGGATCTCGCAGAAGGAAAGCAGGGCAGGAGGTGCTGGAGGCTGGAAGGACGGGGCAGGGAGGACAGGAGGGGCCTGTTGAAGGGCACAGAACCACAGCTCGTCAGGAGGGGCAAGGTCTAGTGTTCTGCAGCAGGCGGCCCCAGCCCTGGTACTGGGGACCAGTATGGCCTGTGGCCGTTAGGAATTGTATGGCCGCAGTGCAGGAGGGGTGGCAGGTGAGCGAGCGTGACCGTCTCAACTCCGCCTCCTGCCAGGTTAGCAGCAGCACAGGATTCTCAGAGGAGCGCAAACCCTGCTGTGAACTGCGCATGGGAGGGAATGAGGTTTCGCACTCCTCGTGAGAATCTAATGCCTAATGGTCTGTCCCTGTCTCCATCACCCCCTGGTGGGACCGTCTAGTTTCAGAAAAAGAAGCTCAGGACTCCTGCTGATCTGACATGATGGTGAGTTGTATAACTATTTTATTACATATTACAATATGATAATAGAAGCAAAGTGCATAATAAATGTGACGTGCTGGATTCATCCCAAACCATCGCCTCCTGGCTGGTGGAAAAACTGTCTTCCACAAAACTGGCCCCTGGTGCCATAGAGGTTGGGGACCACTGTAGGGTGACTGTCACTCAGCAAGATGCGTAGTCTCACGTCACCGGAAGGAGGATATCAAATGCTCCCTGCAGAGAGACACAGTCCATGTTGGAGATGATGGGAGCTCCGGACACCCAGCCGACCACTGGCGCTGTCTGTATGGAAGCATCACTGGGAACTCCGTGGAGATGTACAATTATGATTTGTCAATTTAAAAACCTTTTAAGGATCTTAATCTGCAATCTAATTAATCCGCAAAGTGCCTTTTCTTCCTATAACGCCAGATTGACAGGTTCCAGGGATTCGGGTGGGGACATCTTCTGGGGAGCGCCATTTGGCCACCACACCTCCTTTCCCCGTGTTCTGCCCGGGCCATTTGGTTTCTGCCTCTGTCCACCCCTCACCTCTGACTCGGCTTGCACGACCTTGGAAGATCACCCTGTGGGCTGCAGTCTCCTTTTTTCAAGATGGGGTCACGGTCCACCCGTCCCACAAGGCCATGTGAGGATTATGTGGTTCAAAGCAGGTCACGAAGGCTTTCCGAAGGTCGGCCACTGTTTTTATTGGCCTCGAGGCCGTATGGAGCTTAACAGTGATGCTGGAATTTCCTCTCAAGCCTGGAAAGCCTGGGGCGCCTTTAGATGGAGGGCTCGCTGCTGCAGTGGGTTTGAGCAGACACTGAGGGCTGAGGCTTCAGGGATCCCCTAGTTCCTTAACCGTAAAGGTCACACTGCCCAGCCCCAAGGCAGGTTCAAACCACTGACCTCACAGATACCGTGACGTTCCAACAAAAGAGAAGTCCTCGTGCGGCAGCCCGGGCTTCCAGGTCCTGCTCACCGTGTGCTGCTTGGTTGGCAAGGGGTGCTCGGGGAGGACTCTGCTTCCTCGGCCCTTCTCACTTGGACTGGCCTCCTCTCTCCAGCCCTTCAATGCTAAGGGACTGTGGCGGGGTGGGGGCGGCAGAGGAGGGGCCCCGGCGAGGACAGCAGAACCGCTGTCCCTGCCAAGCACACGTGATATCAGCGCAGCACCAGCCTTTCTGCCGGCCGGCCCTTGGCTTCCCCTCGCATCCCGCTGTCTAGCAGTCACGGTGGTGGAAACCTGGACTGGAAGGCGCAGTGTCTCCTGAAGTTACCAGGTTCCTCCTGTCTTTCTCCAAAATCGGCATCTTCTACTAGACAAGAACATGCTTTCTTCCAAAACGAAATTCTGTAGAAGAATCTCTATTGTCATGGGAGCTCCGGACACACGGGGCGTCTCCTGGGAGGCTCTGACCTGTCGACAGGGCTGTTGGCCCTGCTGGCCCAGAGTGGTTTAGCAGATCAGGGGCCAAAGTCACCCTGAACTAAAGAAATGGTGGTGGGGAGCGGCAGGGTAGATCCCACAGAGGACTGGCAGCTCAGTGAAGGTGGCAGGGCCCTGGGCAATGCAGGGGATGAGGTGGAGTCCAGCTGTGCCCGCCGGGCTGGGGAGAGGGCAGTCAGGAGGAATATGGGAGCTCAGCTTCAGATGTGCCAGGTGCGGCTTCCCTTCCATCTGGGGCACCTCTGGAGGCCGCTGCAAGCGTGGCCGGGAGCCCAGGGCAGGCACTGGGGTGGAGGCCTGGAGGCTGGGGCAGGGAGAGACCACACATAGAGAAAAGGCAGAGGAATGGGAGCAGGAGCTAAGACAGATGAGCCCCAGGAGCCCAGGGAGACAGGCACAGCAGGGCTGGCCAGCAGAGGGAGGACAGAGGGACCGCGTCCTCAGCACCACAGTTCTCGGCCAAGTGCAGGAGGAGGGAGGGGAAGAACACTGTGCTGGAGGAGCTGGGGGTGAGATGGGTCACGACGAGCCGCTTCCTCTGGGAGATGCGAGGCGGTGCTGAGTCAGAGGCTGGACCCGAGGGAGGAGATTTCAGTTACACCCGTTCCCCCACCCACCTTGTGTTTTTTGAGACAGGGTCTTACTCTCACCCAGGCTAGGGTGCAGTGGCTCAATCACAGCTCATTGCAGCCTTGATCTCCCAGGCTCAAGTGATCCTCCCACCTCAGCTGCAGACAGGCTTGCAGCAGATGGGCGCACTGAGTAGGTGGGACTACAGGTTCATGCCATCATGCCCAGCTACATAGTTTTTATTTTAATTAATTAGTAATTAATTTTTTGAGACAGGGTCTCACTCTGTCACCCAGGCTGGAGTGCAGTGGTACAATCTCGGTTCACTGCGACCTCTGCCTCCCGACTAAAGCGATTCTCTGACCTCAGCCTCCTGAGTAGCAGGGACCACAGGCACATGCCATGATGCCCTGCCAATTTTTGTATTTTTAGAGACAGGGTCTCACTATGTTGGCCAGACTGGTCTCAAACTCCTGGGCTCAAGTGATCTTCCCACCTTGGCCTCCGAAAGTGCTGGGACTATAGGCATGAGCCACATGCCTGGTCTTTTTATTTGTAATGGAGACAAAGTCTTACTCTGTTGCCCAGGCTGGAGTTTTATCTATTTTCTGTTAGAAAAGACTTCAAGATATTCACAGTCTGGGCAGCAGGCTTCAGACACGGGAGGTGTAGGAGCAGTAGAAGGAAGCTGGGCGGCTTCTGGAGCTGGGGAGGCGGGAGACTTGGGCAGCTGAGCCTGGGCGCTTACCCCCCTCTCCCCCGCCCCCCACCTCTGAATCTCCCTGAGGACTGCAGGGCTCGGCTGCAGGTGGAACGAACTGTCCTCTCTGTCTGGGGCCTGGACTCCGTATCCAGCCAGCCCCCACTTGACAGGGAGGGCAGCCCCTCAGGGAAAGGTGGGGGGGCGGGGGGGGCTGTGCCTGTGAATGCCCCTGCTGCCAGCCCTGACACTCGCCCACCAGGGCTCTGGGAGACGGCCTTGCCTGCTGGGCTGGGGTGGGGACTGCCATGCCGTTGACCCTCCCTGGGACCGGCACATTCCTGCGGGGATGGTACCAGCGCCAGCCTAGTGTGTGTCGGGCCTAGAGCAGGGCTGGGCGTGAGGGCGCCAGGAGGCTGGGCCCGAGTCCTGGCCTCTGGTCCTGCTGGCCAGCAGTTCAACCAGGAAAGACCCAAAGGAGAGAGCAAAGTACAGCCAGGCTACGTGGAGGGTGTTTATTAGGGTCTCCAAGCAGTGTCCTCGCATGGCCACAGAGGCGCAGCAGCTTCCAGGGAGGTGAGACCACAGGGCCTGGAATGTGGGACCCAGTCCAGGAGGAGCAGGGGGCAGTGGGTGGAGGCTGGGCCCCCTGCAGCTTAGCAGGAGCCCCCAGGGCTTAGGGGAGGAGAGGCTGTGCACACATCTCCAAGGGAGAGACGGATACCAGGGCAGCCGAGGGGCCAGTAGTGGGAGAGGTGAGGGACTCAGTGCCCAGTGAGCCTGGGGACGTGGCTGGCAGCAGCTGGACTTCTGGGCTGGGGAAAGGCCTCAGCAGGCTGGGCGGGAGCACACGGGGCGACAGAGGAGGGACACGCAGGAGGCCAGGCGACAGCAGCTGGGCTGGCAGGAGGAGGAGGGGGCACAGCAGGAGGGGACACAGCAGGCAGGCCTGCACACGGGGCGGCAGAGGAGGGACACGGAGGAGGAGGGTCTGCAGCAGGAGGTGGTGCAGCAAGCCGGCTGGCAGCTAGACTGCTGGCAGCACAAAGAGGAAGCCCCAGAGGAGATGGGCACACAGCAGACGGGCACACAGCAGGACTGCTGGCAGGGGGAGGAAGTGCAGCAAGTCGGCTGGCAGCTAGACTGCTGGCAGCATGAAGAGGAGCCCTCAGAGCAGGTGGGCACACAGCAGACAGGCTTGCAGCAGACGGTCACACAGCAGGCCTGCTGGCAGGGGGAGGAGGTGCAGCAAGCCGGCTGGCAGCTAGACGGCTGACAACATGAAGAGGAGCCCTCAGAGCAGGTGGGCACACAGCAGATAGGCTTACAGCAGACAGGCTTACAGCAGACGGGCACACAGCAGGCCTGCTGGCAGGGGGAGGTGCAGCAAGCCAGCTGGCAGCTAGACTGCTGGCAGCACGAGGGCGTGCAGGAGCTGGTGCAGCCTGATTGGCAGGGGCTGGGCTCACAGGCTGCCTGGCAGCAGGGGCTGGACATACAGCTCACTGGGGTGCAGACCAGGGTCAGGCAGGGGGCCGGGGCGCAGCAGCTGGGGGCACAGCAGGGGGGCTCGCAGCAGCTCTCTGGGCAGTCGTCCACCTGCCAGGAGTCGGAGCAAGAATCACAGGAGCCGGGCAGGCAGATATGGCTGCCGTAGCTCAGGTCGCTGGAGCAGGCGGCCATGCTGGGGTTGAGCTGGGGCAGGTGGGAGGGAGGGAGCAGTGGGTGTCTGGGTGCTGGATGGAAGGAGGGAGTGAGTGAGGAGTCTGGGTGCTGGGAGCTTATATAGCTCTCAAGGGTGTGTGCTGTCCCAGCACAAGGCCCCAGGCGTTTTCCTTGTTGGTGTTTGGGGCGGTTTCCTGAGGATGCTCACCACGAACTGTGACGCGCAGCTCAGCTCCTGCAGCTCCCCGGGTGTCAGAACTGAGTGGGGCTGTGGGACTGTGCAGGGAGCCAGCCGGAGGGCTGGAGCCGGCCTCTGCGTGGACCACAAGGGTCAGCAGCCCCGGCCACTCCTCTGCCATTGTCTTTTGGGGCTGCTTACTAATATTTCCCCTAATTTCTTGACACTCAGTTGAGTCAAGGATGTTTTTCTTCTTGCTTTGTGTTCTCTTTATTTTCAGTCCATAGACCAACGAATGGCTTGGGATCTCAAACAGTCATGTGAGAGGTCTTGCTGTGTGTCAGGAAGTACCTGAGCAAGTTTGTGAATATGACCTGACTAACCCATACGCCAACCTTATAAAGTAGGGGCCAGTATTCCCAGTCTGCAGATGCAGAAACTGCAGCAAAATGAAGAATTTGTGCCAAAGCCTGCTCCAGCCGGCAGAGGAGCCTGCACTAGAGGCCTGGCAGGCCTGTGTCCTGCGTTCTTGGCCACCAGCCTCTGCTGCCTCAGAGAGCAAGGGGCGTAGGAAGTCAGAATGAGAAAGCTGGATTCTGAGAGGGGCAGGCAGAGCACAGTGTGGAGCTGATGCGAAAATATCTGGTGGGAGCCAGAGGGGTGGCCCTGGCCATGAGAAAGGAGCTCCGTCCATCTACAGAGAGGATTTGGGTTTATTTATGGGAGGGAATGTGAAGAAACACTATTGTGCAGGGAAGCTGTGGTTCAGAGTTCAGAGGGCTTGTTCTAGGAGGTTGACAGATTTCTTCTCGGGAAGTGAGTTGTTTTTAATTTTGAGAAGAGGACACTCTGCAGCCTTTGTGGTTGAGGACTCCAGAGCCCCAGGGCTAATCCAGTCTGGAGGATCCTGAGATTAAGGGAGAGCTGCTTGGTTCTGCCTGGAAAGCTGGAGGGCTTCAGGCCCATAGGCAGCAGTGAGCAGGTGAGGGCCCGGGGTGGCTGGTGGATGGGTCCCTTGAAATGAAAAGCCCTGGTGTGTGCTGTGTGCCATGTCCATGGTGTGTCCAGGTTGGGTCATGGCCAGGGACAGGCCCCGAGGGAGGGAGGACCAGCCGGTGCCTCTGGCCTGGGTCCTGCATTTATGTCCTGCTTTGTGTCATGACCTGCCCCCACCTTTCAGTAGAAGGTCTGAGAAGAGGTGCTTTGGGGACTGACACCCAGGGACCTGTTTTGCTCAAAGGCAGAGTCTGTGGTGGCACTTGCAGACCCAAGAGGCAGCATGGCATCCAGTCCAGCGAAAGCAAAGATGCCGGGACAGAACTAGGAGAATGTGAATGCCCCAAAGCCACAGGAGTTGGGGTGGGGTCGGGGGAGCCTAGATGGGCCCCCACACTTTGGAGGGCACTGTCTCTTGCTATTTTATTTGGATCATAAAGAGTGACCTCAGAAGGCCAGAGGGTCTGGAGACATCTGGGTTAAACACTTCTGAGGTCAAGTGTCTGCATCAAGTAGCCCCTCCCCTAGCCGGCAGCAGAGGCCTGCAGGGTTGGGGCAAAGTGCAGCCTACCTTGGGGCAAGGCCAGGTGTGACCCTACAGGCTCTGTGTACTATCCTTATGCTTAGTACCACATTGTTTTGATTACTGTAGCTTTGTAGTAGGTTTTAAAATTGGGAAGTCTGAATCTATTCATCTATTCATCTGTTGGTAGCTACTTGAATAATGTATAATGAATAATGCTGCAAAGAATGTTGACATACAAAGATCTGTTTGAGCCTTTCTCTTTTTATTTATTTACTTATTTTTGATTCTTTTGGGTACTCCTTATTTCCTAGGAGTGGAATTGCTGAGTCACGTGGTAATTCTATGTTTAACTTTTGAGGAACCACCAAAACGTTTCCATAGTAGTTGCACTATTCTATATTCCCACTGTTAATGTATGAGAGTTCCAATTTCTCCATATCTTTGCCAACACTTGTTATTTTCCTTTTTCCTTTTTTTTTTTTTGTAAATTACAGCCATCCTGGTAGATGTGAAGTGGCATCTCACTGTTGTTTTGATTTCCATTTTCTGAACAACTAGTATTGTGGAGCATCTTTTCATGTACTCATTGGCCATTTGCCTACCTTCATTGGAGTGATGTCTACTCAGTCCTTTGCCTAATTTTTAGTTGGGTGCTTTGTCTTTTTGTTGTTGAGTTGCAGTCAGATATATGATTTGTAAATATTTTCTCTCATTCTGTAGATTGTCTTTTCACTTTCTTGATGGTGTTCTCTGATTCAAAAAAGTTTTAAATTTTGACAAGGTCCAATTTATTTTTTCTTTTGTTGCTGGTCCTTCTTGTGTATTAGCTAAGAACCCAGTGTCAAATCCAAAGTCTTAAAGCATTTCTCCATTCTTTTCTTCTAAGATTTTTACGGTTTCAGCTACTATATTTAGGGCATTGATCCATTTTGGGTTAATTTTTGTATATGATATTAGGTAAGATCCAACTTCATTCTTTTGCATCTGGAAATCTAGTTCTTCTAACACCATTTGTTGAAGAGATTATTCTTTTCTTATTGAATTATCTTGATACTCTTGTTCAAAATCAATTGACTATAAATGTATGGGTTAATTTCTGAACTTTTACTTTTATTCTATTGATCCATATATCTGTTCTTAGGTGAGTAACACACTGTTTTGATTACTGTAGCTTTGTAGTATGTTTTGAAATTAGGAAGTGTGAATCCTCCAACCTTGTCCTTCTTTTTCAAGATTGTTTTGGCTATTCTGAGCCCTATAATCTGTATGTGCTTGAAGATCAGCTTTTTCATTTCTGGAAAAAAGAAAAGACATGGATTTTTGATAAGAACTCCATTGAATCTGTAGATTGCTTTGGGTGATACTGCCATTTAACAACATTAAGTCTTCTAATCCATGAACATGGATGTCTTTCCGTTTATTTAGGTCTTCTTTAATTCTTTAAGCAATGTTTTATAGTTATCATTGTACAAGTCTCTTATCCCCTTGATTATATTTGTTACTAGGTATTTTATTCTTTTGGATGCCATTGAAATGGAAATATTTTTCTTAATTTCTTCAGATTGTTCATTGCTGGTGTACAGAAACATGCATGATTTTTGTACATTGATCTTGCACCCTGAAACTTTGGTGAATTCTTTAATAAAACTCATTAGTAATGTCTGGTAGCTTTCTGGTGGATTCTTTGGGATTTTCTATAGACAGGATTATGTCACCTGTGAATAGAAATAATTTTACTTCTTCCTTTCCAATTTTAATGGCTTTTATTTATTTATTTATTTTTTTTGTCTAATAGCTGTGGTTAGAACTTCCAGTCTAGTGTTGAATATTGGTGATGAAAATCCTGTCTTGTTTCTAATCTTAGGGGGAAAGTTTTCAGTCTTTTACTGTTGTGTATGATGCAAGTTGTGGGTTTTTCACAAATGCTCTTTATCATGTTGAGGAAATTCCCTTCAATTCCTAGTTTTCTGAGTATTTTTAAATCATAAAATGGTGCTGGACTTTGACAAAGCCTTTTCTTTGTTAATTGAGATCATGCGTCTGTGTTTTTTTTTTCCCACTTCATTCTGTTCTTGTGTTATACGACATTGATTGTTTTAAATCTTGAACTATCTTTGCATTCCTGGGATAAATCTCACTTGGTCATGGTATATAATCCTTTTAATATACTGTTGGAATCACTTTGTTAGTATGCTGTAGAGAATTTTTTGTATCTGTATTTATAAGGCAGTTGGTCTGTAATTTTCTTTTCTTTCGATGTCTTATGTGGGTTTGGTATCAGGCTAATGTTGGCCTCACAGAGTGAGTTAGAAAGTAGTTCTTCTATTTTTTTTCCCCACAACTTGAGGAGGTTTTGTTAAACTTTTGAAAATGTTTGGTGAAATTTACCAGTAAAGTCATCTGGTCTTGGGTGTTTGTTTGTTGGGAGGTTTTTGGTTAATAATTTAATTTCTTTACTTGTCATAGGTCTGTTGAGATTTTTCTGCTTCATTTCTTGTCAGTTGGATAATTTGTTTATTTATGGAAAATTTTCCATTTTATCTAGACTAATTTGTTCGCATGCAACTGTTTATAGTATCTCCTTATAATCCCTTTTTATTTCTGTCAGGTTGATAGTAATGTCCTCACTTTCATTTCTGATTCTATTTACACCTATTTTTTCTGTCAGCTTAGCTAAAAGTTTATTTTTTATGTTTTCAAATATTCAGCTTTTGGTTTTTATTAATTCTCTCTGTTGTTTTTCTGTTTTCTATTTCATTTATTTTCCCTAAACTTTATTATTTCCTTTCTTATAGTTTTGAGTTCAGTTTGCTGTTCTTTTCTAGTTCTTCAAATTAGAGAGTTAAGTTATTGATTTGAGATCTTTTAAATTTTTTTAAATATGGCATTTACAGCCTTAAATCTCCCTCTGAGCTCCACCTTCGCAGCATCCCATAGCTTTTGGAATGTTGCATTTTAATTTTAATTCATCTCTAAGTTCTTTCTAAGTTTTATTGTGATTTTGCTTTGACCCACTTTTTATTTTGTAGAATGTGTTGTTTAATTTCTATATATTTGTGAATTTTCTAGTTTCCTTCTGTTATTGATGTCTATCTTTGTTCATTCTACCACGGATGGAAAAACAAAGTTTGTATGATTTCAATTTTTTAAAAGTGTATTGAGGCTGGTTTTATGTCCAGCATATGATGTGTTTTATGTCCCATGTTCACTTGACAAGAATGTTTGTTTTTCTGTTGGTGGTGGAATGTTCTCTACATGTCTGTTGTGAGTGACTGGTGTATAGTGTGGTTCAGTTCTCTATTTCCTACTGATCCTCTGACTGGATGTTCTGTTCATTACTGAAAATGAAATATTCAATTCTCGAACTATCGTAGAATTGTCTGTTTCTCACTTGAATTCTGTCAATGTTTGCTTCATGTATTTTGGGGACTTTTTGTATGGCGCATGTATGTTTCTAATTCTTGTATCTTTGATGAGTTGAGTGTTTTATCAATATGTAATGTCCTCATGCATATTTGTAGTTGACACAATATGGATGAATAGGTCCTTGGTGTTATGGCTCTCAGTTCTTAGGGTCTTAGTGTATGGATGAGGACATAAGGATTCTTGAAAAAATAAGCTTATTATAGAGAAAGTCATCTGTAAGTAACAGCTGATACATCGTATGGTGTTAACAGTTATACATTAGAGGCATAGGGGTACGTGCCATCCTTTGCTATCAGCTCTGTTCCCTGGTACCTAATGATGCACATGCTAATTCTACAATCTCTTGAAACTTGGAGAGAGAGAGGGACTCAAAGCAACAAGATTGTAAAGCCATGTTCTTAGGAGACATATCAGATGCTACCTAGGTAAGGGGGTGAGTGGGGGAGAGAGAGAGAAGTGGGGATAGAGGACAGAGGGGAGAGGAGGAGAGGGAGATGAAGGAAAGGGAGGGGAGGAGGACAAACTGATAAGTCTCCGGATTCTGCATCCCACTTTAAATTAGGCCGGTGTGGTGGCTCATGTCTGTAATCCCAGCACTTTGGGAGGCCGAGGCGGGCGGATCATGAGGTCAGGAGTTCAATACCAGTGACCAGTGTGGTGAAACCCCATCTCTACTAAAAATACAAAAAAAAAAAAAAAAAAAAAAAAAATTAGCCGGGCATAGTAGCTTGAGCCTGTAATCCCAGCTACTCAGGAGGCTGAGACAGGAGAGTCGCTTGAGCTCAGCAGACGGAGGCTGCAGCGAGCCGAGGTCGCACCACTGCACTCCAGCCTGGGTAACAGAGGGAGAGACTCTGTCTCAAAAAATAAATAAATAAAAATAAATTAGAGAAGCTGTGTTTTAATATGTCTTACAGACTTGACATATAGGTCAGATTCAGTTTGAGAAAATATTTCCACTACTTTAAAATATTTTGAAAAGACCCAGCATGGTGCATCCCTGCAGTCCCAGCTCAGCCACTTGAGAGGCTGAGGCGGGAGGACACTTGAGCCCAGAAGTTTGATGCTAGTCTGCAAACATGGCAAGACCACCCTATCGACAGTTTTTCTTATAAACAAACAAACAAAAATGTTGAAAGGCAAATGACCACACACCCAGAGGATAAAATACATGTTACTCAGTCTAAGAAAAACACATATGCTTACTTAATAGTTTCACGGCTAATAATTTGCTGTCATGTTTATTGCTTAAGAACTGTTTGTCTTCTGCTTAGCCTGCTTGTTTATAGCAGGCTCATCTTTGGAAGCGTGGGCTGAGTGTTGACCCCCTGGCATGTGGACGTCGTTCTGGGAGTTGGTAGCATTCGTGCTGCTGATGAGAAGTCTGGTGCTCAGCTGATTTTTATTGCTTTGTGGATGACATGAGTAGCAGTAGCGGCCACAGGCCACCTCCTCTGCAGATGGAGCCCAGGAGGACCCATCGTGGAGGGGTGCCTGAGCTACTCGTGCCTGGCTCCTCTCCCACGCCAAGGGTCTGATCGTTCTCACCCCTGCAGAGGCAGCTTCGGGGAAAATGAGGAGCTAGCGTGGAATTCCAGGAAGCCCCTGCACACGTGGAAGCAGCGGGCAGGAGTGTGGGTGACGTGCTCCTCCGTGTGCTCCACTGCACACTCCCAGCTGTCCTCTTTGATGGAGTGGTCACAGCACTTTATTCCAGGGTGTTGTCACACGGTAGGGGATGAGCCATCTCTCAGGGCAGAGCTAGGCCCCTCCAGCCTGGGCAGCTCCCAGGGGTACTCTCTGCTCCTGTGTGGGTCCTCCTGTGCCTGCCGGTGGTGGGTACATTAGATTCCTGCCAGGAAGCCTTTGGACAAATCAGACACCACGTTAGTAAAATCCCCTCCAAGGCTGAAGACCAAGTGGGGTCTCAGAGCTGTGGATACAACTTGGAAGTCTATGGGCTCAGCCGATCCTCGGCCATGTGGTGGGAGTGACCTTGAGGCCTAGAGACCAGCCAGGTGAGGCCACACGGTCAGCCCTGTCACAGGCCACTCCTTTCCCTGGCTGTAGTGCAAGATCACACTTAAAAACAAAGAGAATTGGGGCAGCCACAGTGACCATGTGTTCCTATGTGACCTAGTCACCAAGCAATACATTTTAAAGGTTAGTTGTCTTATGAGTCGATTACAGAAGAATGAGCATGTGTCTTTGATATTTACCTGCTCCTTTACCTTCCACTGTGCCCCCCACTCCTTCCTGCAGGTCAGGCTCCACCTGGCCTCGTCGTAGTCAACCTAAAGGACATCCGTCCACGTTGCCTGCAGCGCACATCTGTGGGGCAGGATTTCTCTCAGCATTTGCTCTTCTGAACAGGTTTTCACTTCAGTCTCAGTTTCTGGGTTTGTTTGAGACCCTTCTTGCTCTGTCACCCAGGCTGAAGTGTGATGGTGCAGTCACAGCTCACTGCAGCTTCCGCCTCCTGGACTCAAGCAATCCTCCTGCCTCATCGTCCTGAACAGCTGGGACTACGGGTGCACACCACCATGCCTGGCTAATTTTTAAACCTTTTGTAGAGATGAAGTCTCACTGCCCAGGCTGGTCTACAACTCATGCGCTCAAGTGATCCTCTTGCCTTGGCCTCCCAAAGTGCTGGTGTTAGAGGTGTGAGCCACAGTCCCTGCCTCAAGAAGGGTGTTCTTCATAGATGTAGAGTTCTGGGTTGCCAGTTTTTGTTGCTCGGTATTTTAAAGATGGGGCTCCCTTGTTTCTGATGAGAAGTCAGGGTGCTTTTCTTATCCTTGTTTCTTTGTATGTAAAGTGTCTTCCTGCCACTGCTTCTGAGATTTATGCCTTCATTTTTGGTTTTCATCACTTTATTATCTGCCTGGATGTGGTTTTCTTTATATTTATCCTACTGGGGTTTTTCTGAGATTCCCGGATTTGTAAGTTGTTGTTTTTTGAATTCAAATTTGGTGTGTTTAAAATTTTTAACTATTGTACTTTTCAGCTCTAGGATTCCATTTAGAAAAGTAGTTTCAGTTCTCTACTGAGATTCCCTCTTTATCCACTCACGAAGATGGTGCTTCCTCTAAGTATCTGAGCGCAGTTTTCTTCGAGTTTCGGAGCATGTTTGTAATAGCTGCCTCAGTTACTGTGTGCTGGGTCCACTAGCTATACCATCTTTGTTTTCTTTTCTGTTTTTAACAGTGAATTACATTTTCCTATATCTTTTGATATCTGATGATTTTTTTTTGAGACAGGGTCTTGCTCTGTTGCCCTGTCTGGAGTGCAATGGTGTGATCATACCTCATTGCAGCCCCTACCATCCAGGCTCAATAGGCTTTCCTGCCTAAACTTACCTAGTAGCTGGGACTGCAAGCATGTGTCACCGTGTCTGGCTAATTTTTAAACATTTTTTTGTAGAGACAGAGTCTCACTATGTTGCCCAGGTTGGTCTCAAACTCCTGGCCTCAAGCAGTCTTTCTTGGCCTCCCAGGGTGCTGGGATTGCAGGCATGAACAACTGCACCTGGCCAGTATCTGATGATTTTGATTGTATGTGAGCTGTTATGATAATGCATTTACAGACTCTGAGCTCCGTCGTGTTTCTGATTTTTGTTCTAGCCGTCGGTAACTGGAGGATGACCTTGACCTTGTGCAGTGTTTGTTGAACACTTTGGGTGGATCTCTGGGAAGTGTCTACAACTTGGAATATTCTATATCTTGGTGAGACTCACATTCCACACCGTCTTCCCTAAAACTCCTGTTCTGGATTGGTTTCGGCTTTGCTTGGGCCGGGCTGGGTGGGTCTCACTCCTGTCTGTGGTCCTTACTCATTTGGTGGGGGGCTGTGGGGGTCTGGGCTGGATGTCGGCACGGGGGCTGAAGCGGGGGCTCCGCTCTCATTCCTCTAGCAGCTTCTCTCTGGTGAGAAGCTTCTCTCTGTGAGTCTGCGGTGGCCTTGCCCTGGGAAGGTACATCCCTGCCCCATCCCCAGATTCTCAGCCGACCCTCACATGGCGGGTCCTGCCCTCCACACCGACCCTTCCTCTGCTTCCCTGCTCCTCAGACTCCAGGGCTTTGACTGCCTGGGCACCGGCCCCTCCCTCCTCGGCAATTGTTTTCTGCTGCAACTCCAGCTGCTAACATTGCCCTTTGGAAGCGTGCCCCAGCAGAGAGCTGGGACGCGGGAGTTTCTTCTTTCTCCTAAGTTTCTGCTGTCTCAGGAATCACAGTCTGCACTGCTGGTTGACCGCTGCCTGAAAACGAGCGTCTCATAAATCTCAGCCGTGCTGCTGATAGAGTGGCCAGCTCTGCACACTCCCGGCGGCAGGGGTCCCAGTAGGGTTACGTGGTCCGTGTTCACTTCTGGTCTCTTCCCCAAAGTTTCTGCTTGATGAAACAGAAGCTGTGGTTCGAGGAGCTCCTCTGGGAACCAGTCATGTCTGCTTCAGTGTGGGACTGATGAAGGGAGGCAGGGATCAGTCAGTTGGGTCTAAAACTGCCTGTGCATCACTGATAAATTTGGGCAGCTTTCCAAATATAACAAGTGCTTGAAGAAGGTGCAATTAGTTATGAAACTAAGGGCCAAATAAAAAACATGAGCATCTACAACAGAAAACTGAGTTCCAGGAAACACCCTTGAGGAAGAAAAACAAGGAAGACAGCAGGCGCGCTTCCGTGCTGGGAGATGCCTGGGTCCAGGTATAAAGGCTGCCCGGGGAAGCCATCTCCAGACACCACTGCCCTCTGCCTCAGCCTTATCCAGCCACACGCCACCATGTGCCACACCAGCTGCTCCTCAGGCTGCCAGGCAGCCTACCGCGTGCCCAGCTCCTGCCAGGCATCCTGCTGCATGCCCGTGGGCTGCCAGTCCTCCGTGTGTGTGCCCGTGAGCTTCAGGCCAGCCCTGTGTGTGCCCGTGAGATGCCAGTCCTCTGTGTGTGTGCCTGTGAGCTGCAGGCCCGTTGTCTGTGTGGCCCCCTCCTGCCAGTCCTCCAGGTGCTGCCAGCCCTCCTGCACCAGCGTCCTCTGCAGACCTGTCTCCTGCAGCATCCCATCCTTCTGCTGACCACGAGTGTCCAGACCCGCTGCTCCCAGTGCAGACGGGGCCACACCTCTACCCTCCCCGGATGAGTCCTCGGTTATTCTTCTGCACTTGGGGCTAGTGAAAAGCATGCTCAGTGAGCCTTCTGAATTCTGGGTTGAGAATGTGACAGAATTATCTGGAGTCCTCGCTGACCTTGCCCATCCTCCTAGAGAAGTCTGGGTCCCAGATATATTCTCTGACCCCATGAGAGCCAAATAAACCAGCTTTCCCCATGCAGCTCTGTTTCTGGTCTTTCTTTTTTATTCCGATGTTCCCCGCTACCTATTCCGCTGATTACATAGAATTTACTGCTAAACGCTCTTCAGCGGTCCCTTCGCACAGTGCTCATCAGAAGGTGGTGTCCCGGGTGGAGGGCACGGCTACAGATGCCCATGTGGTCTCTGCTAAGGCTCCCGGGGCCCAGGTGCAGTGGCTACAGCGGTGCCTTTCCCGCCTGCGGTGGAGTGGTCTTGCTGTCCACTCCTGCTCCAGCCTAGCAAGCTATGCGTGGAAGGCCAAAGCCTCAGAGCATTGAAGATTGGGTTTTCCCATGTGCTTGGTGGACGTCCTATTTCCCAGGTCATGGAGAATCTCAAGTTTACAGACCTGGATTAGTTCTGCAGCACATACTCCCATTACTGGTCCACAAAGGCCCAGTTTTTACTGATTGACTGATGATCGATTACTGAGAATTCTAATATAATAAACCCCCTTGAACCCACTGCCTGACATAGAAATGAATACATCATCAATAATTTGCCATGAACTTCTTGGGACAGCCACTGTTGGGATTGTGTGCTTCTTTTTCTTGAGACAGAGCTTTGCTCTTGTTGCCCAGGCTGGAGTGCAGTGACGCCATCTCAGCTCACCGCAACCTCCTGCCTCCCGGGTTCAAGCAATTCTCTGCCTCAGCCTCCTGAGTAGCTGGGACTACAGGGGCGCACCACCACACCCAGCTAATTTTGTATTTTTAGTAGAGATGGGGTTTCGCCATGTTGACCAGGATGGTGTGATTTCTAATTAGAAGTCTGATGTAAATCTTACCTTTGTCCTTATGCTTGTGGTCTGCCTTTAAAATACGGATGCTTTCAAGATTTCCCTTTTTCCCTTTGGTTTTTGACAGTCACGGGTTTAATGTGACACGTCTAGTCATTTGTAGTGGAGATATAGTTACCCAATTTGGGGTTCTCGGAACTTTTTGGATATGTGGTTTTACGTATTTCATTATTTTTAGAATATTTCTCAGCTACCATGTCTTTAAACATTCCTTCCACCCTGCGCTCTCTTTCTTCTCTTTCGGGACTCCTGTCACATCCGTAAATGAGGATTTGATGTTGTCCTAGCTTTTCGATGTTTTGCTCTTGTCCCTCTTTACCCTCATCTTTCTCTTTGTGTTTCAATTTGGACAATCTATATTTACCTGTCTTCAAATTCAAGGCTTCCACGTGTGGTTGTATCAAGTATGCTGATGAGCCCACTGAAGGAAGCCATCTTTGACACTGTGTTTTGATTTCTACCATATTCACTTCATCTCTCTGCTGAAATTACTCATCTGTTCATATATGCTGTTCATGCTTTACCCTGGATCTTTGGACATATTCATTATATTTATTTTAAAGTTTATGCCTGATAGCTCTAACACCTGGGTTATTTTACTTTTTGCTTGTTACTTTTTTTTTAGACATAGTGTCTTGCTCTTTTACCCAGGCTGGTGTGCAGTGGATCAATCTCAGCTCACTGCAGCCTTGAACTACCAGGCTCACGCGACTCTCCAGCCTCAGCCTCCCAGTGTGCTGGGATTACAGATGTGAACTGTGCCCAGCCTCTAGGTCACTTTTGAATCCAGTTTTGTTGATTTCCTTATCTCCTGACAATGGCTTGGTTTTTCCTTGCTTTTTTGCATGTCTTATACTTTTTTATTTAATATCAGACATCATCATTTCCTTCTGGAAATGCATGTGTCTCTTTTTCTGTCAGGTCATTAGTGTGTTGGGGAGGTGGATGAATCAATGTGGTCAGACATTGATCATGGTTTGGGTTTTGTTGTTGCTGTGGTTGCCTTCAGTGTACCAATGGCTTGTGCTTAGGGTGAGAGCTGGGGAGGTCAGTGCTTTTGCTCCACCCCAAGTTGTCAGAGGCCCCTGCATGCCTGACATTCAGAGGCAACCTCTACACACTTCTGCCTTTCCCCAGAGGCCGGCTGATGTTGCTTATTGAATGGTGCCTGTTAGGCTGGAGCTGGAGACAGGAGGGCTCTCTGTTGTCTCGGTCCAGTGTCAGTCTTAGGCCGACCCTTTGCATGGGGACTTGAGAATGAGACTTTCCTGGACTTCTGCTGCCCCTTCCCAGGACAGACGAACTCTGCTCTGTATTTGTGGACGGTGTTGTTTGAAAGTGTTTCCTGCCCTCTTTGCCGTAGTAATCCTTTGAGGCGCTGCATGAGATCTGGGGCCAGGACTATTTCCCGTCCATCCTTCAGGGTAGAGGATTGTTTTCTTCTGCCCTCCCCTCTACAGCCCCCATCTGGAAGCTCCTTCTCTGGTGGTCTTTATACCTGGGTCCCAGGCAACTGGGTAACATAAAAACACAACAATTGTCTTCTTCATGGTTGTTTCCACTGTGTTTCCAAACATCTTATCCCACAGTGCAAGGCTTGGGGAGTGAGTGTGGGGACAGCACCTTCAGGCCACTCCCCCAACCAAGGACCCTCCACTTCAGCTCAGCCATCAGGAAAGTGGCTCTGAAGAGGCACTGCTGCCATTAAAGTTGGTATGTACCTTCAAGGAAAGAACTTACAAAATATATGAAGATAAACGAGAGAGACAAGCTGTATAGGGACAGCTGATTTATTTGGCTGACATGGGTGTTAGTTTCCTGCTGGAATGAGAGAAGGACTCTGGGAGCCAGGACTTCCTTGAGGGGGTTCCCAGGGAGGGTCACGGAAGGTCTGAATCATTTTTCCACATTCTCACCCCCGAGTTCAGAGATGTCCTTGAGTACACTTTTCATCTGCCCCATGTGTACAGTCTGGGGGTCCACCAGGTACTTGTTCATGGAGGGATACAGATGTGTACCCTGTGTACCAGGAGCAGCTGGTCAGCAGCAGGAAGTAGTGCTGCAGGAGGTGGGTTTGCAGAGGATGGTGGTGCGGTGGGGTTGGCAGTGCCCGGAGGACTACCTTAAGAAAACCTTTTGCTCTAACATAGGCTATCAAAATTTTTAGTTTTGTGTTAGTATATGTTTTAATATCAATGTTCAATCTTTAGAAAGACTGTTATAAATAATTTCATTTTAACTATATCCAACCTAATCATATACAAAATTCCTTTCATAAATTCACTTTTCAAGAGCCTTAACATGACTTACACAGACCAGTTACAACATGCCTGGATTTCCTGCTTTTTTCTATTCTTCCTTATTCTTAAATAACCAGTCATTTTACTTAAGGATAAAAATTCACTATATAAGATTCTTTCTCATACAAAATTATTCTCTTTTCTCTTTAATCTTCCTTACCAAAAGTACATCTTCATATCCATAACTTTCTGCACATTTCTTTTTCCTACTTACTGGTTACTTTCTATCTTGTTTCATGTTTCCTTCCTAAATCCATATTTGGAAACAACTTTTAAATAACCTTTGAATTAGGCAAATTATTCTTTTTGTCAATAAAGAACACTATCTTTATGCCTTTCTTGTAATTTTTTTCTTACTAAAGCACATCTTATTTTGGCACCTTTTATACATAGAATTATATATATTAAAAGTTTTAATTCCTAGTAACCTTAAATTTTATTGAAAACCTAGGAAATAAGAAATTTTAAATTTCCTGTCACATAACAGTATTTAACATGCAAAAAAACCTTATCATTTTTAGAAACATGTTTCCTTGTAAATTTTTAAATTGAAAATGATTCAGCCATATAATATCTATTATTTAATTTAACATAATTTTAGATGTCAAATTACATAAAGTTTATTGATGTTTATCTCATTTACATTTGCCTAATTTATTTATTTTTAATAATTACAAAAACTGACATATTAGACAAACTTAGTCATTATTTCAAATTATTTCCTTGTTAATCATTTTTATAGCCTGTGATATATGGTGTTCACCTAAGTAAGAAACTTAAATGTATGGGTATTTTGTTGATAACTCAGAAGGTACAGCTGTTTTAATTAAACCAACAATATTAAATTAGTCTTACTTATAAAAAATGACATAAAAATTATTCTGTTTTTGGCTGGGTTTATGGTCTTCTAATATTTATTAAAGACAAATGTAAAACTGTCTGACCAGTACATCCAGGCAAATGTCAGCAAAATGTATGCTGACAATTTTGAAGACATTTTAATTTTTACTTTAGCAGTTACTTTAAAACCAGCTTATTTATTAAAGATTTACTTAGATCATATGAACTTGGAAAATATTTGGGCTTGATAATTTATGAGTGCTTGTTTATTGAAAAGTAAATTTGACACCATGTAGACACACAATATGACATAATACATGTACATATACATAAACACATCTAAACACACACACAAATAAAGATCTTATAACTTTCATTTTAGAATTTTAGTCATGAGCTAGTAATACTCATTGGTTTATAAAGAATGGTTGGAACCAAATTATATTTCTGACAAGACCGAGACCTATTTACATTGCTAAATTTTGTTTGCCCAATAGGTAATCTCATGAAGATTGTGGGCCAAAATTTTGGATAAAGCAGTTTCCATGGCAGTTTGATTTTTAAACTTCTTTTATCCTTTTTTCCTTCAGTTTCAAATGAGTTTAGGGTTAACTTTTAAATATTTATATTTCAGCTAGAACTGGCTGAATTGTATAAGAAAATCAAGGTCTACACGTAGCCTTGAATCAGTAATACCGTAAGAAGCGAATGTTTTTCTCAGCAACAGTAGAAAAATCAACAGATTCAAAGTAGGCAGAAAAAAAAATAGAGAACTCAGGAGACTCTACATTTTCACTCTATATTTGCAGGTTGATGATTCTGAGTTCTGACTTTTCCTTGATATAATTTAACTATGGAAAAATGGGCCATGATATGTGGTCAACTGGAGTCCCAGAAAACCTGGCATGCCCTAATGTTTGAGAATCCTAGTTTTGGCCATTTCAGTATTAAATCTCCTTTAGCAAACCCCTTACCTCCAGGGAGATACTTGCAAGTATAGGCTCCATATGTGTTACACATGAAGCCACTTCTACCTAATCT